CAGGAATGCAAGACCACAGTTATTACAATGCCTGGTGGGATACTCGTATGATAGGCCTTCGGATTCTTGTAAACCATTTTCTATCGCCAAATGGTAGGTATATTTGCGAAGAATTCTTTTATGTTTTAAAGAAGTTTAAATTTTTATGACATTTAGAGAGGTTATGTGAGTTTAATTGATTTTTGTTTCTTTTTTGTTTCAGCTAATTAAACTCACGCCTTGTATTAAATACGCTGACTACTTACACATAAATAAAGCATCGACCTTTCTTAAAATCCGAGTTCTTTACTGTTTCTGCCTGATCCGATTCTTCAGAAAATAATGAAAAGTATGGTTTGCCACATTTTTCTTCTCTAGTCTTTAGCTATGGTTCTAGCATTCTGTATGAAAATAGAGATTAATTTATCAATAAAATCGACTCCTGCTTGTCCGATTAATCGAATAGTATGTATTATTTACTAGAAGAATAATAATATATATATATAATCATATACAAAATCTGAATAAATTTAGTGCGAATAGAAAAAAAATTAATAAGAAAAGGCTTATTTAAACAACGATGATATGTATAATAAAAATTGCATTTAATCGAAAAAATCGAATAATCATCAAATATGTAAATAATCTTTCCCTTGGTCAGTTACCTACATGTCGAAAAATGTGGCTAGTTAAAGCAGAAAGCAATTAAAACGAAACTAGATAATTGGAAATACACTATAATTTATTTGAGCCACATTAAATTATAATAGTCAATTGTAAATAAATATAGCTTTCTTACATCGTTAATAACTTTTACATACAATTAATAAATACATAAATAAGAAAGGAAAATAATTTCATTTATGTATAAATTGTATAAAATAATGAAAAGTCTCAAAGTTTCTCAAATTTTATTTTCTGTAGAAAAATGTGCTCTTCTTTATATGTTTATTATCATTCTTATTAAAATTATAAAATACTGTATAATATAATTCCACAGATATTTTATCATCTAAGTAAATTCATGGAAGGTAACTCTAGATGGTAACAGAAATCGCGATGAAACAAGCGATGAATTGTTCTGTACTTTACTACAAGAGTGCGGCACTGTATCTTCGTGTCCTTTGTAAGTATAAACAGAATAACAGAATCATAGATATTTCATACAAAAGAAAAAATACATATACATATTCAGTGTGCTAAAATGTATACAGTAATATTTTTTAAATAAAAAAAATTGAAATAGTGAAATTAATTTTTTCTTTTAAATAGTCCGTTTAAGAACAAATTAATTTTTTATTTGTACTTTTGTGTGCATTTATACATAATTAAAATTTATTATAATTAGTTTCATGATGAATTTACTTCATAATAGAGTAAAAATTCTTCCAGAAATACTAATAATATTGTCCAAAATACAATTTTAATAGTTGACAAAGAAAATTATATAAATATTTAAAAGAAAACGATTCAAGCAGTACTCAACTCATTCCTGTTTCTTCAATGCCATTATTATTTAATTTTTTTGTTTAAATACCACAGAGAAGTATGCGGAAAATGAGAAAAGTGAGAAAATATCGATGATTTAATCGAATGATAATTTAAAAACTGTTTTCTTATAACATAGAAATCTACAAGAAAACTTTAATATCTTGTTGAATTTATTTCTTTAAAAGAAATCATCTCTTTATGTATCCCAAGACGTGTTTTGAGATAGCATTGTAGAAAACTAGAGCATGTTCCATTTTAAAATGCACTTTCTTTGGCTTTGACCCTAAAACGTAGTTCGTATGAAGAACGGTATCAGATGAAATACCATTGAACTAGTTTTAGGTTAGGATTAATTATTTTTACTTTGTAATTGTAAAATTTCAAACAAATATATTTCCAAAATACGTTTCATTTTCATTGAAATATACATATTTTTAAGAGAATTATTTTATTCTTTGAAATTCCTTAATATTGAAAATTTATTTAATAACCTAATAATTTCTAAGCTTGTAAATTATTACTTGAATATTCAGATTACATATAGTAAAAATTAAATTATGTATAAGTCGAATTAAAGATATCTACTAATGTACAGTGTATTAAAAAATAAATAAAAATAGGTAATTGCTTTTTTATCATAAAAGTAAAAAATATTTAACAGTTAATAATCGTGCAATGGTAAAATCACTAGTAATAACAATTTTTCAAGTAATTTATTTCTTTCCTTTATCGCATTTGGAGCAAAAACAAAGTATCATTAAGGATGCTATTATCTCTTATTATCTTTTTATTTTCTACCTTATGAAAGCTGCTTCACATGTTATCCTTCAATTCCCATTCAGCTTTAAACAACTTTCATCTCGTTTTTAAATAAATATCTTGGTTTCAGCAAAGAGTATTACAGTAAAAGATTTTTAAATATTTAATAAAATTTATAATACACTAGTAACAATTCTACGAATTAAAATGTTTATACAACATTAGAAATAAGTTCACAAAATTCAAAATGAATTAACATTAGAACTTTTTATATTTTTACTTTTAAATCAAATTTAATTAATTTAAAAATTATTTTGCTAACTTCTTAAATATCAATTTTTCGAAACAAATTTATAAATATTATGTATCATATATCTTTGCACGTTTCATGCAATATTTCTACCAAACTGTTTTCATATAAAAGTGTTCCTTCACAAAAATAGAATCTTATTCCATTTATCAGATAATTCTTACTTTCTAATTTTCCTACTGTGAAATGCTGAATTAAGCTATAATCATAAAACACAGTGGATTTCTTTAGTTTTTCGCGTAATCTTTCTTTATCCTTGAACGATATACTCGTAAAAAGTGCCAGCATCAGCTTCCGGCCACGTAAGGAATAAAATGCACGTACACGCCTTTTTCAGACGTTCTCCCTAATTGGAATTTCACGGCTGATCAACCTGTAGCTCGAAGAAGGTGGATAGAAGTTGAAAAATAGCAGTTGTTAGAATTTTGAAAGTATTTAGAAACGAAAGCAACGAAAGTCAGCGTTTCACCCGGTGCTATCGTAAAATTTCGAAATTACGTAATAAACGCTTCTTCAACGTTACGGCGCTGTAAGTGAAGCCATGATGCACGTTTTGTTCCTGGTAAAATATGCGTGCAAAATATACGTAAACGCGTATCAAATTAAAAACACCGGAAATTTTATTCAAATTCGGTTACGTAAACCCTGATTATTACCTTCTCTTCTTACATTCCGGACTAAGTAGTTGCAAAAACTAAAAGTTAGTTGAATTTTAAAAATATTTTATCGTAGGATAGGAATTTGTCGAGGCCATAGTTCAGGTCCTCGCCGCTAGATGGAAAACAGAGATCAAAGGTTTCTCACAAGTCAGAGGTTACACGTGATTTCCTATATATAGAAGTTCTAAATCCTCGACACTCGGAGTTTGGCCACCGGTTGATGTCCGTATTACCCACTCCCGCAGTCAGCAATTATTAATTGCTCTGCGATATCAAATGTTTCACGTGCAGTGTTGCGGGGTAGAGTAAGGAATAAATTCATTCACCCGGTATTTAAAAATACTGCTTTGGTGGACGTGAAGGACGGGTAAAGTAATAGTGGTCAAGTCCAACCTTTTGGGATTTTAAACAATTTTTGAAAATTTGTAAGATCGAAGGCTCGAAAATTGACAAGGCGGTAGTATAATGATAAAACGTAACAGTGCAATGATAAAGTCGCATAATAATTATTTGAACGTACAGACTTTGTACTTTCGTTTGTAACTTTCTGGTTATATAGAGTTTTAAAGGGTTAGTATATATTCGAGTTACAGGGGTAACAGAAACGTTAGTCCGTTCCTGAATGGAACTGAACACACCGGCAGCAAAGAGATATCACTTTCCCGGCTTTCTTAGTGCCACGCCCGGCTACCGTACTTTTATGCGAACTTGAACGAAACGCGTGCTCTACGGTGCATACTAATCGATGAAGGAAGAAAAATACGGCTCGTTCTAAATTCTCATGAAATCACGAACGATGAGTAGCACCGCGTTTGGTGAACCTTTTAGACACTAGTGAACATAGAGAAACTTGGAATATGTAACGAATATCGTACAGTTTAATTACATAAAGACAATGAAAAATTATACTTCGAACGATTGAAATTCAAAATGGTGGTTTCCTAACCATTTGCACTCGAGAGTCACTGTTTGTTTCAATGCTATAAGTCAAATAATGAATATCGAAATATCGAAATAAAATAATTCTATTCCGTCATTTTTCACACAAATGCATGATTTTCTTTTTTTATTTTGGCATAAAGAGAATCAGCGAGCTTATGAAAATCTAAGAAAAGCTTCGAATTGCTGTTTACAACGAAAAAGTCTTCGAGTCCAAAAGGTTAGGAAAGGTATCGAATAATAAGTAAGATGATTAAAATCAATAGTACCAATTGCACGGTAACGTGGTAGGAAATGCAATTGGTTGTTCAAATTATTAACCCTGTGCACTGGAAAATTTCCTCGTTATAAAGATATAACAATTCGAAGCTTATCTTATATATTTCTTATCTCAGTGATACCATTCATGTTAAAATAAAAAGAGAAAATCATGTGTACTTCATTCCAATATTTCATGTGGAGTTATTTCTAATCTAGTAATGTTTCATACTCGTTACTCGGGCTTCCAGGTATTGAAATAAACGGTGACTGATAACGAGAGTTACCGCTCGAGGTTAAATTATTAATTTTGTATAATTCTGTACAAGTATAAACACTGTTTCCAATTTTGTTTAAAACCTATAAATATTGTTTACTGATATTTAAAGGATATATTTTCAATGATAATTTTAGAAACTAAAATAAGTAAAAGATATAATAAACTACTTTTGGAACAATAAAAAATCATTAATTACTATCAATTATATATTGTATTCACACATTACTCTCATTAACACTGGTGAAAAAAATTTTTAAGAAATGAAGTGGAAACACAGATTCTAAAGGTTGCAAATATTTTCAGTTATTTCTTTGCTTTCTACCCAGAACAAAATTGAAAGAAAGTATAAAGAAAAGTGGATAAATAGTGAAAAACGATTCATCGAATGTTTATGATTACAAAATCATAGAAAAATATATGGCGGAAAGAAAACTGGTTAAAATTGTTTGCTGTTAAGTAAGGAAAAGGCATTTCGTGATATTATCGAGCTATTCTCTCATTACGGAAGGTTCGAGTAGCGTGTAGACGAGA